TTTTTTTTTTTTTCAAACGACAAATACATCAATAACTAGAAAACTCAAAAGAGTACAATCGAGGTATAAACTGAAAATAAAGAACCATAAAACTTGGACCTAACCCATTAGAACTCCACATTTGTTGAACGGAGTTTGTGCTAGCCCTCAGATACGATACATCTACTTGTGACCTTTATGCGCGTCTAGTTCGTAGCAGAACTCCACATTTGTTGAACGGAGTACAAACTTATCAAGCAGAACTCCACATTTGTTGAACGGAGTACAAACTTATCAAGGAGACAACGCATAAACAAAACTAAACTCCATAAAAAAGACTTAACTCCATGAATGAGACTAATGACAAACGAAGATAGACTAAGACAACGAAAAAAATAGAAAAAAACGCGCATCTAATGAACAAAAAAAATTACAACCTCCCTACACCTAATAGACATAATGCACAACCACCCGAGCTGGCACACGAGTCACACCCCGTAACACAGCTAACAGATCATCAAACTGGAACCAAAAATCTACTACGCCGGGGGAGAGGGGAAGCCACAATTAAAGCACCGATGACCCACGCAGGAAGGATCGAAAAAGGGACAACGCATAGTCGGGCAGCACCTTTGGACAAAACATCTAAGGAACACGAACCCATATGCATCGGTGGGCCAACAGATTGCCAAGGCTGGGAACTACGCATTGACGCTGGCAACCTTAACCTTAATTAGCTCGGTATATAGACGGTGCAGCGAAATCCACCAAAATCTAAATCTCCCGCAAGGCATCGGAAGAGGCAGAAAAAGAGTCCCCAACCCCGACTCGACTGAAACCGGCACGGATAGCGTGGGGGCAAGTCGGTAGGCGGAGGAGGGGAAACAACAAGAGGAGGCGAGGCCTTTGGTTTGTTTTTGAAGTGAGAGAGATAGAGGGGTGCGTCCCTTAGTGCATACTCATAAATGGTTCATGATAGTAAGCAGTGTTCTAAAACGCGTATAGCGTAATGCGTCGCGTTTTGGTCTTTATACTGTATAACGTAAATAGCGTTGCGTGTTGCGCAAGCTATTTGGGTATAATTTTTTTATAAACATATTACAAATATATTTGCAAATAATAAAGCTGGAAGGTTGATAACAAAAATTATCATATTATTTGAATAACTTAAAAAAATAAGATTATTTCTCAGAAATATGTAATATAAAAATCATCATAATATAAATATTAAATAATAAATCGAATATACTAAAAAATAAAAACAAACAACAGAAATATAATGATGTAAGTCATAGTATAATTTTAAGTATATGCTTTTTAATTATTATTTTTTATTTAACTACAACTTAATTCTAACCATTGGATATGAAATTTTTATTATTTATTTAAATGTCAAATATCGAAAAATAAAATGATATAATAAAATGGACTGATAAATATTGCACTATTCAACTTAGGACTTTGCATTTTCAAACTTTTTATTTGAAATCATTATCAAAATTTTTATTTTTAGTTGTCATTTGTAAATATGACTCTGATCCCTAAAAAATATGAGTTTTTTTTATTATTTTTTCGTTCAAATGTCGTTGTAGAAATATGGCGCAAAATTTAGCGTACAATAGCGTGAAATAGCGCAAAATATCCTAAGAAAGCGTGCCATTTAGACATTTCGCGCAAGCTGTTCGGGAAAACGCTAAATATATAAGGCTATGTTGCGTTTTTTCGAAAATAAGCTATATAGCGAGCAATATTGTTCTACGTAGCGAGCTATTTAAAACAATGATAGTAAGTGAGGATGATTAATTTGTGCGAGGAATTTTACTCAATTTTTTTTAGTTCAATTTATTTTCTTTTTTTTTTATTTGGGATATTAAACACTAATTAATTTATGTTACAATAAATGAGGATAGGTTATCCATTTATTTAATTTCAAAACGTGCTGAGCTCAAATGAGAAATTCACATGCTTCGTAATCCTATTTAACAAAATTATATGTAATTCCCATTCAATTCATGTTTCTCTCATTGGCCATATTTAGAAACAAAATATTTGAAGAAGAAATTCGTAATCCTATTTAATAAAATTATATGTAATTCCCATTCAATTCATGTTTCTCTCATTGGCCATATTTAGAAACAAAATATTTGAAGAAGAAATGACACTGTCGATGAAACTATGATTATCAGATATCTCAAAAAATTTCTTTGGGCTCAAAATAGTTTTCATCATATTTAATTATATAACAATATAGTATTTTCACAAAAAGATAAATACAGATAGATAGACAGATTGATAAATAGGTATTATATACATATAGATATATAGATAAATATATATATATATTTTTCACTAATAAATTTTTAAGTTGGTAGTAATATCCCTAAATATCTTATTAGTAATGCTACTTGTAGTAGACTACATTCTTTTCTTTTTTCTGTTATAAATAATATAATAATTAAGTAATAGATTTTAAATTAAAAATAATATAATAATTAAATAATAAGATTATAATTTATAAATAATATAATAATTCGATATATAGATTCTATATATACATAATATAATGATTAAATAAACTTACTCAAAATTATAAATAATATAATGATAGAATAAATAGATTATGTATTATAAAAAATATAATGATTTTGTAAATATATTCTAAATTATAAATGATAAAATAATTATGAAAATAAATTATAAATTATAAATTATATTATAATTTAGTAAAGTGGTTTTATAATAATTCAATAAAGAGATTTTAAATTATAAATAATATAATAATTGAATAAATTGTATTCTCAAGTATAATGATAATTATAAATTACAAATAATATAATAATTAAGTGTATTTATTCAAAATTATAGATAATATGAAATATATTCTAAATTATAAATAATATACTGATAATTACAAATATTAAACAATATAATAATTCAGTATATATAATTTATAATAATTGAGTAAATTAGATTCTAAATTATAAATAATATAATAATTGAATAAATTATATTCTATATATTATATAATAATTTAGTAAATATATTTTATGTTATAAATAATATAATGATTAAGTAAATATATTTTATATTATAAAACCCTCCCCCACAACCTCACCTGCAGGCAAGAGTTCAAACCACTCTGTTACCATAATTATATGGTACATAATTAACACATTTATTTAAAACAACACGAACAAAAGAAAGCTTAATCAAACAAAAAATAAAAATAATCAAAGCATCGACAACCCATGCAGGAAGGATCGAAAAAGGGACAAAGCATAGTCGGGCAGCACCCTTGGACACAACACCTAAGGAACCGACCCATATGCACAGGCAGGCCGACAGATTGCCAAGGCTGGGAACTAGGCATTGATGCTGGCAACCTTGACCTTAATTAGTTGGGTATATAGGCGGTGCAGCGAAATCCACCAAAATCCAAATCTCCCGCAAGGCCTCGGAAGAGGCAGAAAAAGAGTCTCCAACCCGACTCGACCGAAACCGGCACGAATAGCGTGGGGGCAAGTCGGTAGGCGGAGGAGGGGAAACAACAAGAGGAGACGAGGCCTTTAGTTCTTTTTGAAGTGAGAGAGATAGAGGGTGCGTCCCTCAGTGCATACTCATAAATGGTTCGTCATAGTAAGTGTTGATGATTAATTTGTGCGAGGAATTTTACTCATGTTTTTTTTAGTGCAGTTTATTTTCTTTTTTTTTCTTATTCGGGATATTAAATACTAATTAATTTATATTATAATAAATGAGGATGTATTACCACATTATATAATTTCAAAATGTGGGAGTTTAAGTGAGAAATTCACATGCTTCGTAATCCTATTTGACAAAATTATATATAATTTCCATTCAATTTATGTTTCTCCCATTCAATATTTGAAGAAGAAATGACTCTGTCGATGAAAATATGATTATCAGAAATCTCAAAAAAAAAAAAAAAAAAAAATTTGGGCTCAAAATAGTTTTCATCATATTTAAATATATAACAATATATTTGCACAAAAATAGATAGACAGATTGATAAATAGGAAGTATAGATAAATTAGATATATAGATAAATAGATATTTTTCACTAATAAATTTTTAAGTTGTTAGTAATATCCCTAAATATCTTATTAGTAATGCTACTTGTAGTAGACTACATTCTTTTCTTTTTTTTCTTTTTTCTCTTTCTTTTTCTTTTATTTATTTAATTATTTATTTATTTTGGCCAAAGTACTAGACTAGATTTGAGATGCACAAAAGCATACTTACAAAATCACATGTAAGGTATGGTGATTAAAAAACAAAAAAGATTTTATCTCCTTGAACGCATGTGTGCAACATTATTCATAAAACACCCATTGGACTCTACCCAATCTCATTCATTTCTCCTATATATACACACACACACTCGTACATACATACATACATACATACATACACTCTCCATCCAATTCACATCCTATCCCCACCTCTCTCTTTCTCACTCTCTCTAAAACTGTAGCAGCAGTAGCAGCAGCTAATACACACCAATATTCCTCACAGTCAGTAACGGTTTTATTATTCCACAAACACAAAGCAGAGAAATTAAAGAAGAAAAATGATTACCTGGCACGATTTGTACGTCGTTCTGACAGCGGTGATTCCCCTGTACGTGGCCATGATTCTGGCATACGGCTCGGTGCGTTGGTGGAAGATCTTCACCCCGGACCAGTGCTCGGGCATCAACCGGTTCGTGGCGGTGTTCGCCGTCCCCCTCCTCTCCTTCCACTTCATCTCCCAGAACAACATCTACACCATGAACTTCCGCTTCATAGCCGCCGACACCCTCCAAAAAATCATCATGCTCGCCGTCCTCGCTCTGTGGGCTAACCTCAGCCGCCACGGAAGCCTCGAGTGGTCCATCACCATCTTCTCCCTCTCCACTCTACCCAACACCCTCGTCATGGGGATTCCCCTCCTCATAGCCATGTACGGGGACTACTCCGGCAGCCTCATGGTCCAGGTGGTCGTCCTCCAGTGCATCATCTGGTACACTCTCCTCCTCTTCCTCTTCGAGTACCGTGCCGCCAAGACCCTAATCTCCGACCAGTTCCCGGACACGGCCGCTTCTATAGTCTCCTTCAAGGTTGACCCAGACGTGGTCTCCCTGGACGGGCAGGACTTCCTCGAGACGGACGCCCAGATCGGGGGCGACGGCAAGCTCCACGTCACAGTTCGAAAATCCAATGCCTCTCGCCGCTCTTTCTCCGGCCGCCCATCCAACCTCACCGGAGCCGAGATCTACAGTCTCAGCTCGTCGAGGAACCCCACTCCCAGGGGCTCCAATTTCAACCACT